CAAAGAGACTGAACAGTCCCTGGCTAACACCCAGCATTCTCAAATCCATAATTACAAAACCCCAATATGAAAACAGTACAGAATGGGTCACATAACCAGAGACCAAACAAAACGTTACTGTCAATCCTAACCAGCCTGATAAGAAGGGCAAAAAAATTGTATTATGAGAACAGATTACCCAACTTCGAGGTGATATAAAAAAGACCTGGAAAACACTATCTGAAATTTTTGGGAACAAAAAAGATATCACGAAATAGCGAATAAAATTAGCAAAATCAGATGAACCCCAACTCCCACAACAAAAAACAGCAAACAGACTCAATGATTTCTTCTCCATATAGGACAAAACCTTGCCATAAAACCCCAAAGTCGATACCCCACCAAATAACTACCTCACCGGAAAACCCTACCCGAACACACTGTTCCTAGCTCCGACTAACCCATACGAAGTCTCCCTTATTATAAATTTGCACTAAAAAACAAGGCAGGAGATTTAAGTACCTTACCACCCTTTATATATAAAAAAGTGTCACAAGTGCTATCTCCAATCATTGCAACACTCTTTAACAAATCCATTGAATCCTCCCCCTTCCCTACAGTACTCAAAATAGCAAGGGTCACCCCGATCCACAAAGGAGGAGACCAACAGAGTTGAATAACTATAGGCCAATATCCAACTTACCCCTCTTTTCAAAAAATCTTTGAAAAACTAATTCACAAACGAATCTACTCCTACCTTATCTCCCAAAACATACTCAACCCCTGCCAATTTGGATTCAGGCCTAATAAAAATACTAATGATGCTATTATACACATGCTAGAACATATATACACTGCAATAAAAAAAAAAAGAAGTCCCATGGGGATCTTCATTGACTTACGTAAAGTTTTTGATACAGTTTGACCATGATTTGGGCTCCACGTAAAATTGTCACACTATGGTATAAGGGGGGCACTCCCTCAATTACCTCAAGCTACCTCAGCAACAGAAGCCAATATGTGTACGCAAATGGGGCAAACTCTTCTGCGCAACCAATTACAGTTGGTGTCCCACAGGGAAGTGTCCTTGGCCCTCTTCTCTTTCTCCTATACATAAATGACCTTCCAAATGCTTCGCAATTACTCAAACCCACACTATTTTGCAGATGACACTACATACTTTCCTTCTCTCACCCGAGCCCAGTCACACTAGCATACTGTAAATACGATATTACAGAAATATCTACTGGATGAGGACTAAACAAACTTACACTAAACATTGACATAAACCTACTTCATTCAGTTTGGTAACAGAGCTAAGATGTCCCTCTTCATCGTATAGGTTCCTATCCCATTAGAAAAATTTTGGCAATTGTAATAGACTAAATTTATAACGTACAAAAAAATTTTAAAAAAATTTCAAGACGGAACGATAAATACGGAAGTCCACTACCCTCCTGCCATTCACTCCTTATTTACCCTATTATGATTTGTATGGTATTTAATTGCTTCCCATAGGCTCATTAATTTTTGGACCCCCCAATTTTAATAATAAATAATTCACATACAAACATACATATTATTATTGCCTATCATACGAAAAAGAAAAACCCTTCAAAATTTGACTCAAAGTACACTGCCATAAATAGGATCGATTTTTGGCCTGTGTATCCAACTATGAACTCATGATAAAAGGCAAATTGGAATTCATTACGTGTAAATCTAACAAACCACTCTTTTTCCCAAAATCAAGTCCTGCCATCACTTACAGGTCCCAAATAAACGCCGAATTTATGAATTGAAACTTAAACGTTTAATTTATCCATATATGTTAATATTAATGTCATATTAAATCAATACTACAGAATCTTCTTGAGTCTTGTATATTTGTGCATTAATAATAAACATAAGTTTTCCTGCCATCATTGCTTAGTTAACTGAAGTTCTTTTAAGCCACCCTTATCTTTAAATGGCTTGGGTACTGTTTTAGTATTTTTTACCACGCATGTTCAAAAATTCATTGGAACCATGGCCAGGGCTAAAAGTAACCAGGTTATAACAATAAATGGAGAAAAAGAAATTGGAATGACTTATGCAGCAAGCAGTGCCACCAAGCAGTAGCAGCAGGTTGGTGTGGCGACCCTGGAAATTTGAAATTATGCTAGCCAAAATTAGTGCCAAATAACTGAAGGAACCGAATAACTGATTGCCGGATTTGTGATGGCGGACCTGTGCTGTTACAGGATAACATTTTAATTTAGGTACATAAAACAAATTTTTATAAATTTGTGAATGGCTTGACAAGTGTAGAGGACAGATAGGTGCAGTAAAAGCTTGATAATATGGACAAAAAAAAACTCTGACTGGACAAAAGCTCAACAAGTCTGCTTAATAGGGTATCTGATAAAAATAGCAATGCAGAAGACCAAATCTGCTACATCCCACAGCTGTCTGGTCTGGCCGTACCATCGATAAATTGGGCCCTGTCCAATTAATTGCAAGCTTCTCCAGTCCTGGCTTCATCTTGAACTTGTTCATTTTCATTACATGGAGGAAGTAAGGCCAGTGACTCAGCCTGTGTCAGTTTGTTAATGTCTGTGTGCTTCCTCACAAACTATCATTTTGTATTATTAACAATGGCCTCTAAAACAAGTCATGGTATCCAGTAAAAGTGTGTGACCCTGGAGGTTGACTCTTTTTAGGTCCATGCCCGAGTATCACACTTGAGCTCAGGGTCTGTGCTGTAATATTACGCGTAAAGTCTAGAGGCTTCAAATTTAGCATGAGAGGGCTGGTAAGCCTACATATGAGAGAATGGGTCTATGCAGTGAGTGTGAACTATATAAAAAAAATAATCTTGCCTCACGCAGTACTGTACATGATGGGAAAAAGCTGACCATGTGAATGGTTTGAAATAGTGACTGTGGTGTATTTTTGGATGATTTTTATGATTTTATTCTCAGTTTCTTGGTACCATTTAACAGAATGGGAGAGATATTACTGAAAGCAAGATGATTTCTGATTGATTTCATGAGTGGAGGTAACTTCAAATTGAGTTCAAAATAGCGGAAATATTTGATTTTTGTCAATACTGGAATACTGACAAAAATCAAATATTTCCGCACATTCAAGAATGAGCTGACATTACTCATACAAATATTACAATAATGCAGTAGCCTGCATAACAGTAAATCTTCTATTTTTTTGGGTGTGAATAGAAATTCAAAGTGGAAAACAGATGTAACATAGGAGAGGCCTAGGGACTAATGAACAGAGGAAATACTGTTTTAGTACCTGGAATGTCTACAGCGTTTATCTGGACCCTTTTTGAAATTGGCATTTTTTTAATTTTGTGAAAATTGACCAAATTATCGATTTCTGATCATTTGTTGGGTAGCTGAAATACAGGAGGGTCTCCACTTATACAGCATGTTAGATTCTGGGTTACTGCTGTGAAGCAAAAATTGCTGTAAAATTTGTATGAGTAAAGAACATTTAAAATACAGTGGACCCCCGGTTAACGATATTTTTTCACTCCAGAAGTATGTTCAGGTGCCAGTACTGACCGAATTTGTTCCCATAAGGAATACAGTGGACCCCCGCATACCGTTGGCATCACGTAACGATTAATCCGCATACCTCTTGCTTTAATTGCAAAAATTTTGCCTCGCATACCGCTTAAAAACCCGCTCACCGCTGTTCGTCCGAGACGCGTCCAATGTGCGCCTTAGCCAGCCTCACATGTTCCGCCGGTGGCATTGTTTACCAGCCAGCCTCCGCGGTAGCATCCAAGCATACAATCGTAACATTTCATATTATTACAGTGTTTTTGGTGATTTTATCTGGAAAATAAGTGACCATGGGCCCCAAGAAAGCTTCTAGTGCCAACCCTACAGCAATAAGGGTGAGAATTACTATAGAGATGAAGAAAAAGATCAGTGATAAGTATGAAAGTGGAGTGCGTGTCTCCGAGCTGGCCAAGTTGTATAATAAACCCCAATCAACCATCGCTACTATTGGTGGTACAGCTGCTGCTGCTGCACTGTCAGCTGCTGCTGCTGCTGTAGCATCGTCTGCTGCTGCTGTAGCATCGTCTGCTGCTGCTGCTGCTGTAGCACTGTTGTTGGTGTGGCTTATTGAGAATATACCAAGAAACAATTAACCCCAGAGGATTTGCCACCCAGGATAACCCAAAAAAGTCAGTGTCATCGAAGACTGTCTAACTTATTTCCATTGGGGTCCTTAATCTCGTCTCCCAGGATGCAACCCACACCAGTCGACTAACACCCAGGTGAACAGGGAAAAATGCCTGGAACTAGTGCTCATATTGGTGAATTTAAAGCCAGCAAAGGTTGGTTTGAGAGATTTAAGAATCGTAGTGACATACACAGTGTGATAAGGCATGTTCTGGAAGAAAATACCAAACAGGACTTACAGTACTCAGGAGGAAAAGGCACTCCCAGGACACAGTGTCTCATCAGTCATTGCTGCATCTTCAATAAAGGTAAGTGTCATTTATTCTTCATTTAGTAGACTAGTACATGCACAATATATACTGTGCATGTACTACTCTACTATTGTGCATGTATCCTTCTCTTTGTGTGTAGGAAAATGTATATTTCACGTGGTAAAAATTTTTTTTTCATACTTTTGGGTGTCTTGCACGGATTAATTTGATTTCCATTATTTCTTATGGGGAAAATTCATTCGCATACCAATGAGCCCTCTTGCACGGATTAAAATCGGTATGCGGGGGTCCACTGTATTGTGAAGTAGATTAGTCCATTTCAGACCCCCAAACATACACGTACAAACGCACTTACATAAATACACTTACATAATTGGTCGCATTCGGAGGTGATCGTTATGTGGGGGTCCACTGTATTTTTGTCCCTAGCGTAAAGCGAGTGGTGAATAAAGGAGGGCCCCGCTTTACAGCACTTATAAATGCTGGGTTTACAAATTACTGTATATAAAAAGTAAAATTAATAACATACGTAATTAAGTTGAAAATAAATTACCTGAGAGTAGATAATGAGCCGCCAGGTGAACGTTGATGCTGCTGTGGAGGCCAGAGATGGCTCGATAGAATGCCCGCTTTTCTAAACATAATTCTGAAAACAAATAAACTATCATGTATTATTTTAAAGAAACTAGGGAACAAAAGAAATCTACAATGGCATTATTTGTGGCATATACAGTGCATCTACAACAGTTCACCTGAGTCCAAAATTTTTTTTATTATCTTAACACACTGACCATTTCCTACCAAGGCAGGGTGGCCCGAAAAAGAAAATCATTCACTCCATTGCTGTCTTGCCAGAGGAATGCTTACACTATAGTTATAAAACTGCAACACTAACACCCCTCCTCCAGGAATCAAGTCCGGCCTACCAGTTTCCCTGAATCCCTTCATAAACGTTACCTTGATTACACACAAACAGCACGTCAAGTCCTAAACACCATTTGTCTCCATTTGCTCCTATCTAACACGCTCACACAGACTTGCTGAAAGTCCAAGCCCCACACACACAAAACCTCCTTTGCCCCCTCCCTCCAACCTTTCCTAGGCCGACCCCTACCCCACCTTCCCTCCACTACGGATTTACACACACTCGGAGTCATTCTATTTCGTTCCAACCTCTCTACATGTCCAAACCATTTCAATAACCCCTCCTCAGCCCTCTGGATAATAGTTTTGGTAATCCCACACCTCCTCCTACTCTCCAAACTACGGATTCTCTGCATTATATTCACACCACACATCGCCCTCAGACATGACATCTCCACTGCCTCCATCCTTCTTTTTACAACATTCACCCCTCATGCCTCACACCCATACAAGTGTTGGTATAACTATACTCTCATACATTCTCCTCTTTGCTTTCATGGATAAAGTTCTTTGTCTCCACAGACTCGTCAGTGCACCGCTCACCATTTTCCCCTCATCAATTCTACGATTCACCTCATCTTTCATAGACCCATCTGCTGACACGTCCACTCCCAAATATCTCAATACATTCACCTCTTCCATACTCTTCCCCTCCAATCTGATATCCAATCTTCCATTACCTAAATTTTTGTGGTTATCCTCGTCACCTTACTCTTTCCTACATTCACTTTTAATTTCCTTTTTTATAATTTTTACACTCTCTTTTGTCCCCTTTGCCTTTATATAAGGAAACTATGCATGCTCTCTGCCAATCCCTAGGTACCTTACCCTCTTCCATATACAGTGGAACCTCTACTTGCGAGTTTAATCCGTTCCATGACCTTGCCCGCAACTGGATTTGCTCATTTGCAGAATCAATTTTCCTCATTTAAATTAACTGAAATGCAATTAATCCATTCCAGTGGAATTCTGTACTTCAATAATTTCGCTAATATCAACTCTAAGGCTTATTTATCTATCTCACTTCATCTAATATGACATAATAAACAATATAAATAACATAGAAACCTGATACAGTGGAACCTCAAAAATCGAACGTATCACATATCGAATATTTCGAAAATAGGACCATTTTTTCAGACAAACTGTGTCCCTATTATCAAACATGCCCCTATTTTCGGACCGCCGGGTACGGGACCTGTCTGCCGCCTGCTCTGTCCGCGTCCCTGCACAGGCGCCGTGAGCAGTCTAGCTTTGTTTATGCTTGAGTGAACACTAATCTGCGCTCTCATTCACGCATTTTACGATTATTTCGTTGTGTTTAGTGCTTGTGGGACTGTGAAATAAGCTTCCATGGGCCCAAAGAAACTTGCTAGTGGTACCCCTGTGGTAAAGAAAGTGAGAAACACCATAGATGTGAAGAAGGAAATAATACAGAAGTATGAGAGTGGTGCGAGACTTGTTGAGCTTGCCAGGATGTATGGGAAAAACAAGTCGACCATCGGTTCTATCCTGTCAAAGAAAAAACAAATCAAGGAAGCTGATGTTGCGAAAGGTGTTAATATAGGGAGTGGATGAGGTGCCTTCTTCAAAGATTAAGGAGATTTGTGCCAAGTGGAATGATGTCCAAATGTTTGTGCAGAAGTACAACCCTGAGCAAGTTGAAACAAGCCATCTTTGCAACAAGTTCAGTGACAGAACCATGTCCCATTTTAGGGAAATGTTAAAGAGGCGCCAGAGACAGAGGACTGTGGACAGTTATTTTGCAAGACAGGGGTCCAGTGACTCTCAAGCTGGTTCTAGTGGCATTAAAAGACAGAGAAGGGAAGTAACCCCAGAGAGGGCTTTACCTGAAGTCCTCATGGAGGAGGATTCTCCTTCCAAACACTAACCCCAACTCCCTCTCTCTTCCTCCCTATCTTCCAGATGCCATCACCAATCTTCAATAAAGTTAAGTAAAAATGTTATTTTATATGTATTACTATACATAATTAAAAACTATAGTAATTGTTGTATGTAAAACTGTAATTAATCTCTATAAAATGTATTTTTTGTGTGAATATTTTTGGGTTTCTGGAACAGATTAATTGTATTTCCATTATTTCTTATGGGAAATATTGCTTCGAATTTCAGACTTTCCGAATTTAGAACTAGCTCCTGGAACGGATTAAGTTCGATTTTTGAGGTTCCACTGTATATACAGTGGTCCCTCGTTTTTCGTAATTAATCCGTTCCTGGAGGAGCTACTATAAACGAAATTTACGATTTGCGAATCAATTTTCCCCATAAGAAATAATGTAAATACAATTAATCCGTTCCTGACACCCAGAAGTATTAAAACAAAATTTTTTTTTACATGAAATATACATGTAGTACATAAACAATACAATGGGAAATGATGACTGAAACATTAACAGCATAACACTTACCTTTATTGGAGATTCTTCTTAGTGTATGGGAGACTGGAGGAGGAGAGAGATTGGATTGTTTACAGTTTGGAAAGGGAATCCCCTTCCAGCAACACCTCAGGTACCAATTATTTCTCTGGGGTTGCTTCTCTTCTCTGTTTCTTAATGCCACTAGGACCACCTTGAGAGTCACTCTAGTCCTGTCTTGCAAAGTAACTGTGGAGAGCTGTTTCTGGCGTCTCTTTAACACTTCCCTAAAATGGCCCAAGACTTTGTCACTGTACATGTATAAAGCTGCAGTATGACCTCTGGACTTCTGTTGCTTACACTTCTTGATATAAATCCCAGTAATCTATTTGCCTTATTACGTACGCTTAGGCATTGCTGTCTTGGTTTAAGGTTGCTGCTCACCATAACCCCCAAGTCCTTTTCGCAATCTGTGTGGCTAAGTTCTACATCATTTAACTTATAAGTGCTAGGGTTATGGACACTCCCAAGCTTCAGAACCTTGCATTTATCTACATTGAACTGCATCTGCCACTTTTCTGACCAAGAATACAGTTTGTTTAAATCCTCCTGAAGTTCCCTAACATCTACGTTTGAATCAATTATCCTACCTATCTTTGTGTCATCGGCGAATTTGCTCATATCACTAGTAACATCCTCATCAAGATCATTGATATATATTATAAAGTCATTACTTATGTCACGAAAGTTGTTGTGTTATGTTGTTGTTGGGTATATAAGGGCCACTGAGTGTAAGCCGTCCATAATGGTGGTGAGGCGGCGGTGGTTTTTGCAGCCCTATATAACTCCAACAACATTGGAGGAGTTGGTAGAATCGCTGAATCACTAAAGAAGGAACCCTCTACCACCATCACTACAACTTTCTACCACTATTACAACTGTTACCACCATCACTACTACCTTCTACCACCATCACTACTACCTTCTACCACCATCACACTACTTCTACACATCACATACCTTCTACCACCATCACTACTACCTTCTACCACCATCACTACCACCAAAGAAAGCTTCTAGTGCCAGCCCTTTGGTAAAGAATGTGAGAAACACATAATTTATGAAAAAGTTTGTAGAAAAATACAAAGATGGTGGTGGTAGAGTGGAAGCAGTTGTGATAGTGGTTGATGAACATAAGAACATAAGAAAGGAGGATCACTCCAGCAGGCCTGTTGGCCCATGCTCGGCAGGTCCTTTACAATTCATCCCACTAACGAAACATTTTCCCAACCCAGTCCTCAATGCTATCTAAGAAATAAGCTCTGATAACTCTATCCACTCATTTGGGACTTGCAAATGAGTGGATAGAGTTATCAGAGCTTATTAGTGGTGACGTGTACTTAGCTCAGTGGTGACGTGTACTTAGCTCTGTGAAGACCTGTTTGTGTGCTCTCTGTGAATCTGAACCAGGATGCCCTCTCTTGAGCAACTTTACCAGCAGCTGAGAGAAGAGCTCAGAGTTGCTAAGCTGGAGATATGGCGATTAACGGAGGAGAACAAGAGGATTCGTAGTAATCCTCCTGTTGTGAGTCCCCAGGTTAAGAGGGGAGCTTGGTCAGTGGCCGGGCAACATGGGACCAAGCTGAAGATCAAGAAAATGGTTGGAGAGGCAGAAACAATGAGAAACCAGAAGACTACCTTGGAAACTTCCAACCCATTCTCGGTGCTACCTGACGAATGTGAGTGTTCTATGGGAATGCCACAACGAGCACCAAAGAAGCATTGGCAGACGTGAGTAAGACATCCCTAAAAACCCCAACGAAGACCATCGAGAACGTCTTGACGAATTCTACAAGTGGTGTAATGCTACCTGGTGAATGTGAGTCGACTACTCGGAGCATCACGACGGACGACGCCAAGGAAGGTAAAAACATTGTTGTTGTTGGGGATAGCCAGATTAGGTACATGGATAGGGCATTCTGCTTGAAAGATAGAAGTAGGAGGCAGAGAGAGTGTTTTCCTGGGGCTGGGATGAAGGATATTGTTAGCCGTCTGGATGACATCATGAGAGGTAATGGGAGAAATCCTATTATCTGTCTCAGTGCTGGAGGCAACGAAGTTGGCATACGTAGGAGTGAGGACCTGATTAGCAGGTATAGGTCAGCAATAGAGATAATTAGGAGGAAGGGTGGGAAACCTGTCATATGTGGCATTTTGCCAAGGAGAGGAGTTGGAAATGAATGGTTGTCCAGAGCAATTGGTGTCAATTGCTGGCTGGACAAATACTGTAAGGAAAATGTGGTAACATTCATTGACAACTGGGACCTCTTCTATGGCAGAAATGACA